CTTTATTAGACTTACTATAATCCTGCAATCTTCTTTTTTTGAGATGGAATATGCAGAATTAATCATAATATTTGTGAAGCTGTACCATTACTTTAGACCATAGAGTTGTATATTTTTCCATACTCATTCCTGTCTAATTCCTCATAAAGTCTGACATCTTATTTGTTTTTTTGTCAGCAGCCAAATGTGAGCAGAGCTTTTCACTGACCGTGCAGTTAAAGCTTTGAATGCAACCACACAGACTTTCAGGCCAGTGGTTTTCATTGCAATTTTACTTTTTCCATTTCCTTTTCATTGCTTATTTGCAAATGATACAAAATCAGTTCCTGTTTGTCTCAGTATTCAGATATCCCACAAAAACTGAGAGGATCCCAGCCTGGAGCAATGTTACCTATCTTAGTAAAATGCTCAGTACAAAGCTTAATCCTTCACGCTTCCTGTGTGCTCTAAATTCCAATTTATGTGTAACTGTTAGCCATTTGAAGCTTTTGAAAAAACCTTTTAAAAATGGCAGCTGATTGTTGCCTCATAGTGAAATATGATGTATGCTATTTATTTATTTATCCACGTGTTTACCTATATTGCAGTAGTCCCTCTGAACATGGCTCAGATGCTAGCCAGAGTATGGAAGTAGAAAATGAGGACTCAAACACCTCAGAATATAAGCGGTGGGAAAAGAGAGGGCTGTTAAAGAGAGAGATTGCTGGAGAACTGAAAGGAATCCATCAGCCAGTATCAGGACAATGGCTTTTGGCACATATACCAGTACCTACCCTGATCCATGGCAGAGGATGTGAGGGGAAAGTGCTCCTGCAAAAGCAGTGCCATAAACTAAGAAGGGAAGAAGGAAAGAATAACCTACGGAGAAAATATGGATAACTAAAATTTTATTAGTCATGGAGCAAGCAGCTAAGAAACAGAGAAGGGGTGATGAGAAACGGATAGGTGTAAAGTGAGGAAAGGTGATAAGAGAAAGATGGAAGCAGGAACAGGAATGGTAGAGAAAGGAAGATTTGGAAGGAAAAGAGTAAGGAAAAACAATGAAAGGGGAAGATCGTAGAAGAAGGGTATGGAAAATAGGTCTGATTTTTTTTTGCTGCTGGGAGAAGACAAGGCAACTAAGATAAAAGCAAGAAACCATCAAGCTTAAATGATACAAAGCATAGGGAGGAGAGCATAAGAAAAGGAGTAAATGGGGTCAGTACGGGAATGAAGGCAGACAAGGTCTGTAAAAGTCTGTCCAAGTGTCAACTACGTTAAGTGTCAAAGGAACATGAGCATACTATGGAAGTTTTAAAAACTGGGTAGTGCAATGAAGGTGCTCCTGTGCAGACCTGCTAGGTATCTGTTTTGTCAAGCATAATATTCTTGTCCATGACTGAATGATATTTTTCCTGGGATGCTTTCTTGAGAATCTAGCTGATGACAACGTATTTACTGAACTTTTCACAAAAAATCATCACATAAATATTTGATTCTGATTGTGATTTCAGCAAGTTTATTTCCAGGAGTTTGATTTATAGATAAAATTCCATGTACCAATTCTCCAAGCAAAACAAGAAAGACTGAGAATATAAGAGAGACAAAGTTATTGGGGTTCGGTGTAGCATATTATTTTCAGCTACACTTTCTGGGTTTTAGATATAAATCACAGAGGCTCTCTGAAGCTGGGCAACACCCTTTCAGATGTAATAATTTGCATTTCAATATTAACTCGTATTTTAGAGAATGAACTGTTGGCTATAAAGAGGCATGCAAGGAAATGAGCAGGTTCCACCTTCCATCATTTCAAAGCTAAGCTGCTGTCTGCTTGACAGCTGAGGGTTTACTTGCCACTGAGCTTGATGAAAATAAGTGGAAAGTCTATTAACTCTTTTGCTTTCTGCTTATTTTAAAGTTGTGTTGTTTAAACATTTTGAAATCATATGCCTGAAAAAAGTGTCCTTGTAACTTGAAATGAGGTCCAATTCTAACAGTAGCTGAAAGAAATGTAATGTCAAGAGTGTGAACTGGTGCAGCTGAGTTTATGAACTGGCACTGTACATGTCCTCTCTAGTGCATGAAAGCCAGTGAATTTTTCTCTGGCTAAGGACATAGCCCTCAGCATGTCAGGGCCTCATCCTGGCTTTGCTCTTGTTTGTACATTTTGCACATTCTTTTTATGAGTTGCCATAGAGCATGTATGAGGACCTTATTCTTTCTTGAGGACTGAAGAAACCCTTCAAACACTGTTACCAGGTTATACTGTTTCCTACTTCATGGCATCTGATTTTAATATCCCCCAAAATTATGTGGTAACTTGTAAGAAGTAAAGGCTGATCAGCTGTAGGTTTCTCATCCTTGCCACAAAGAAACCAGTCAGGTAATATGGGAGGTGAGAAGCTTTTACTCTTTTGCTATATCCTAAAAGAAAAACAAGGTCAGGGAAATGACACCAGACTGTACAACATTTGGGAAGTGAGCTCTGCACAACTTAAATTGAATATGCTAACGTACAAGTTTGGTAAAGGAATCCTGTGCATATAAAATGTTTCCCTGATGAATAATCAACAGCTCTGCTTTCTGTTTAAATTCCTCCCTCTACATTCATGCATCTAGAAAAGATTCATTTCTCTCATTACGAGATTTACTGGAACAGGAACATATTTACTGTGAAGAAACTCTTCCTGAAGCATGCACTGACGTTGTTGTGTCAGGTGGGGAAGACATCATTAGTGTGTGTCATAGCCTCCATAGCAAGGGTAGCTGAAAAGGTCAGGATGCACTAAAGAAGCATAATGTTTTGTTTTTGCAGAGCACACTACCTGCTTCGCATGATAAATTACACCAAGTTTGAATATCCGATGTGCGCAAATGGCAACACTTGATCATTTAGGCTTAGCTCTTCAACCACAAACATCTGACACATTTGGCCTGGAAATGTCCATAAATGCTATTCCTGCCTTGACAAACCCTGAGGACCACTGTTGTCTAACAGAAAAAATGAGTACAGCCTGGCCTTGACAGTGACCTAACTGCAGCACCCTGACACATCTCATTTTACCAACCTATTTTTAAAAACGAGCAGCATGAAGAAACTGTTTTCAGCTTTTATTGCTGGCATGTATTTAAGATTCTCTTTTGTCCTTACTAACCAAACAAAGGGGATGAATTTGTTAAGAAAGGTATCTAAATATATCCATTAATTGGTGAACATGCTCACTTTGTTGCTTGCAAGACAATAGACAACTGATCATCAAATAAACACTAAAGTAAATAGAGGGTTTAGCTAGGAATTGTTTTTGTGGGAAGCTGTAGTCGTGGTTGTGGCATAAAACAAATTCTTTGAATACATACAAAACATTAATCATTGGCATCTGAAGAGGAAAAAATGTTAGTGATGTTTATTGAAGGCATCGTTAAATGCCACAGCTTATTATAAAACATGAAAGAAAACAAGTTTCAACAAACCACATTAAAAGGGAGAGAATCTTTTTTTCACATTACAAACTTCTGGAAGAACTCAGTTTCTGCTTTTTTGGAGCAAGTATTTCCTACTCCGTCTTTAACTTTCCAGTTAAAAGGAAGGTACCAGGACAAAGGTACTGAAAAAAATAAGTTAGATAGACAGCACTGAAAAAGTACATCATTCCATGACAAAACATAGGAGAAAGAGAAGTAAACTTGGAGGCAGAGGGCATGCCACCTCAGTGTAGCCTGCAGTACAGTCACTAAGAGTAGCAGATCTTTTTTGTTGTGCATACTTTCTCATAAATTAACAGAATACAAAATAAGATGGACTAAACTAAAAGCATCTTTTCTTTCTTTTTTTTTTTTTATTGTCACATAATGTCAAATTTGAGAAACGCTCCTTCTGAGCTGAGGTGAACAAAATACAGCATGTGTTACAGTCCTTCAGTATGAAGCAAATAATGAATAGGACCAGCAGCTATTCCAGAAATACTCAGAATAGCAGACCAAATGTTTTAAATATACGTATCTTTTTTTTAGTCCTCAAAAGTAGCATTTTAATACTCACTATTCCAGTATAATAGTATCCTTCACTGAACAATAAAGCTGCTGCATGTTATATAAACGTTATTTAATATTGAAACCAGATGGATGTATGTAGATATTTTTTATTAGATACTGTTTACCATGCATTTATAGCAAGATCACCTGCATTTCCAAGAAAGAAAGGACAAATGTGTGGAAAACTCAAGACAAAACTTTCTTGGATTCCCTTTATCCTTGCAATTCTATCCATACATTTTAGATTTCAAGCAGCTAGAAGGAAAATGTTTGACTGAACTTCAGCTCTGGCAAGTCTGGCAATTTCTGGAGTACGATCTCCTATAAAAGCAGATGGTTTATATCTTTTTATTATTTTCTTGTTGCTTGTACCCAACCAACAGTTAAGGCAGTAGCCATTTTACAGATCTGTGTTCCAGACCTTTTTGGTTTTGCCTTTTACTATGTGAGGAGAAGCAGCCAAATCTATAAAAGGCCTATAACAAGCTACTATTCCATGCCACTGTCTAAGATCATCTGGATTTCTCCCATTATTAGTGTATCTCAAATATTCCTAAACAATGAAAAAAGTTACTGTGCTGCCCAAAGTCAGCATAGATGATTTTAATTCTGTCACCTGGCATAAAAATAATCTATACTGTAGAATGGAAAGCTATTTTTATGCATCTAAGGTATCCGTTGTTTTGCTGAAGCAGTCACAACTTACGCTTCATCTAGTACACAGGGAGGCTGATGTTATGGGGTTTGTCTGCTGTTTTGATTTTTAACAACCAGTGAGAGCTTCTACATTTTTATTGTTGGCTTGAATACTACTCCTGGACACAAGCTAAGTTGTTTTTTTCCTTACTATATTGTAGCTCAGAAGCAACGTGACAGCAGTAGCAATTTCTCTGTTGTTTTCATTTGTATTATAGCACTTCAGTAATTCTCCTGTGTTCTCTGGATCCCTTAACTATGTGGAAAATATTTCACCCTTTAATACTCTACAGAACTGGTCTGATGTGAAAGTGGTCTTTAGGCCTGATTTAAAGGATGCCTTTCTGATGCTGTACAATGGGCAAGCTCTGAGCGGTACAATAGATGAACTTCAGTGATCCTCTTGAACTTACAGTTCTGTGTTTCTATATTCATCTTAGAGTTGCATGCTTGAGTATGTATGGCATGTGTTGCCCTAACTTTAAGAAACCCATACTCTGGAACTACTTTCCAATCTATAACATTTTCCAGTTCTATTGTTCCTGTAACAACACTTGTTTTCTGTCTCAATTATACTAAGAATATAAATAATACTAAAGTTGCACCTCTGGATCTGCTGGACTGTTATTTTCTCCTTGATATATTATCAGTACAACTGAGCCAGCAAATGAGGGGGAGGGGGGTGGGGTGGTGTGTGTGTGTGAAAGCTGGATAGACATAGTAAAAACAGCCCAACAAAGCCTCTGGCATCTTGTGCAGTCATGCAGTTAGGATATGAGTGGATACAACAGTTTTATTGCTTTTCCTTTGGCCTGCTCATCAATGTCATTGTGTATATCATAAAACAAATAACACTCCTTACCAGCACACAGAATCGATACCCTGCCTACTTCTACCAGTGGCCAGGAACAACTGGTTGAGAATAAGAGTCTGAGAAGAATAAGATACTCGATACATGTGCATGTCATGCAGACACACACAAAAAGCAAAAGACAGCTCTTTCTCTTTCCAAATTATAAGGAGATGGTTATATTTGCAAAAGCAACCTATGGTAAATACAAAACCTTACAACTTTCTTTCACAAGAAAATGCTAAATGAACCAGAAAATCTCATGCCTGTTTCACTTTATTCAATAAAGAGAATGTCTGGTGAGATCTTTGCAATATTCTTTCCACATTTATTAAGAGATAACAGAGATAGTGATGACACAATTTATTGCTCAGATGCCTTTGCTTCCTGCAGAGTTAGCATGCAGTTCCTGCAAAACAGCATGTGGTATTTTATCTTTTCAAATCATTACCTTACATTCTTTTTCCTACTGCAAAATTAAAGCCTATTAAAAGAAAATTCACGAAAAGTGTTTAATCAGGATTTGTAGTGTTATTTGCTAGAACATGATGACAGAGGCTTCGCTCCACTTCAAAGATGTATCAGTCTTTTTAGTAAAATGCCAGCAGTAATCTTTCTGTGATTCCAAACCAGAAAATGAAGACCACGTGAGAATATTCTGCTATAAAGAATTGTGTGTTAACTGTTCACCATTCTATTAACAAATGATAAAATACATGAATTTCTGCCAGTGATAACAGAGATGGCAAAGATGATGCAACTTGTCTCATAATCAATTAAATAAAAAATACCAGTTCCCTAATGCCTCTTTTTGGTCTGTCAAACTAAACAAAAGCTAACAGCAAAGGAGCATTTGTTGTTTCAGTGATCCAGTTAGTTAAATTTCAGTCATCCATGGCCTACTGTTCTACTGTCTCAGAGGAAACCCAGTGTAATTGGAAATTTTTGTTAGGAATTCATTCCAGCAAAGATGAAACATGGAGTACATACTTTCATCCCAGGAGTAAGAATCAGTTTTCTCAAACCACTGGCTATACAGAAATTGGAGACATAATCTTTAGAGTCAGTGCATATGCTCATATGTATGTCTGTATGCATATTGTAGCTACTGGCCAAAAGCTGATTTTTTTTTATTTCTATTTGGGCACATAAACACCCTTTGGTAAATCTGTGAAATACCTGGCTTTCAGTCAAATTATGTGGAATTGGCAGTGTATCAGACCAGTTAAAATAGAGAAATTATTTAGGTAGTTGGATATTCATTGAAGTTTTAACCCTAGGTCAAGCCCCAGGTCACAGTTTATATCTGTGAAGAATACTATATCCTGCTTCTGTGGTAAAGTGAAAGCCTCTGCAGTGTGCTCCATATCCTTTCAGCTTTACTCTGCACACAGAGACATGCACACACTTAAAAACATGTGCATACACTCACAAGCACACATATATGTATAAACATAGGAAATAAACTTAGGTAAAAGTGCAGAGGATTTTCATGACAACAACTGTACTACTCGTTTCTTCTCGGGGGGGGGGGGGGGGGGGGAGGGGGAGGTTTGTGGTGGAGGAGGAATGATTCACAAACAAGGAAGGAAACCCCTGAATTTGACACCAGCCTAGAAGCTGCAGGGTAAAGAAGCAAAATCATCATAGTCTGCAACAGGCAGGAACCTACTTCAGAGAGTACAGCTGTTCTCTGCTATCCTATCCACAAATTCCAGTTGTTAAATGCATAATTAAAGATGCATTCATGCAGACGTGATGGTGCAGTACTACAGTTTTTTACGCAGAATCTCATCTCTTCAGGCTTGGCAGTCAAATTACCAGAAAAAATACCCATGCAGACTGAATATAAGCCTCCCATCATGGTAAGAAATTACATGCGAGAAGTACGTACCGCATACTGCAATGAGAAAGGAGCAATGTATATGTGCCTCACAAACAGCTACCTTTGACTATGGTCTTAATTCATAAAATCTCTTGGGATAATTCTAGCTCAGAAAAAGGACAGAAAAAATGGTTTTAGCTAATAGTCTATCCAGTTCGTTCTGTGTCCTGTGCTGTCCACATACACTACTGTTTGCATCATAGCTGCTGCAAATGCTTGAATTTGGAAGGTGGCAAATCTTCAGACAATTTAAGGGCTTGTTTAGATTTACACACATAATTAATACCATTGAAGTTAATAGGACTAGTGCCTTTAGGCTGGAGTGCTCAGCACTTGCAGTAACAAGCCCCAAGGAAGCCATAGCAGTGCACCTTTGTCAGATGCTGAAAATTTGTCTGGATTTTTTTTATCATTTTCCTAATAGAGCTGCTTATGGGCAGCCTCACAGTTTTACACCTCTTGATGACTTAATATATATATTTGCTAATATAAACTTTTCCTCATTAAAAAACCACTCAAAGTTAAAGATTTATTATCTTTTTTCACTGTCAAACCATATTCACATTCTAAATGGATTATAACTTGATCTCAGAAGCAAATTTCTGGTCCTTCCTCACTATTGGCTGTCCAGCATCATGCACCTATATGAATCACTTATTACCTTGATTTTTAAGATTTTTTTAATTTTTTTGTTTTTAACACAAGACAGTAAGAAAAAAGTTGTCTTTAAACTTATTATTTCTTATAATTCTGATCTGCCATTCTCCACAATAATTCATCATTGTAACTATAGATTCCAATATGTTGAAATTATTTCAGAATAGAGATCAGCTGCCGTGGGCCTAAAGTACATCACTTTGTATGCAAGATACAAACAATAAAAATAGATATGCAAAAGCTGATCTCTGTTTAAAGGACTTAATATCACTGCAAACAAATTGTCTACCCACATAACTAAGAAGCACATCTTTGTTTTGAAGAAACCCAAATTTCTTTGTTAAAGAAACACACGTAATTGCTGCTGTGTGCTTTTAGCCAACAGCTTCCTGCTGAATAAATGGTGAGGGCATTCCTGACATTCCCAAAGGAAGGCTCCTGGCAGAACAAGCTGTGGTGGTGCAGTCTGTCCCAGTTATGTACTGAGGGCTGAGCTGCACCCGTGCAGAGGTTGGCCGGGAATCTGTGCAAGCTGGAATTTCCAGCCATAGATGGAGAACACCTGTACGTGAACACAGTGTTCATATCCCCCGAGCATCGACTGGGACTGGAACGTACCAAGGTCTCATGTAAGAGATTCCCAATGATGTAACTGCATACATCCAGTGCCTAAATTTGGTAGCAACATCATCAAGGCAGAGTGAATGTTTTTTTTCCTTTTTTATTGTATTGTTTTGGTTTGTTTTCATTGAAGTGGAAATTATTTAAATAAGATGGAATTTATTCCAAAACTCTCAGAATCTAATTAGTTTTTCTAAGCTGTTGGAAGAAATATCTGCAATGCAGTTTATTTTTCTCAGCAAACTAATAAAATAATAATCCATGCTATTTAGCAACTTGAATTGTCTTCCAAATGCTTTATCTTTACAAATCTGACTTAAAAAATGAAATCAGAAAAATAAAATAAGCCCCGATTTTACCTCATCATCTGTCTTGTCTGTGGAAAACTACTGCTTTCACTAAATTCCTGAATAGTCATAAAGGTACATTTATGACTTCTCTCATCCTAGAAAACTGCATATTTCCACTCAGAGATTCATTGGTTAATTTTTCTCAAAAGGCAGAAATATCAAATGTGCATGAAAAGCTCTTTATCAACAAAGCATTTTTGGCAGCCAGTTATAAATGTGTTGTCACCCTTTTCTTTAACGGTAGTGGTTAGCCATTTCTTTCATTTCTTCCCAACAGCTGTGACTACTCAGAAACTGCAGTTATGTTACCCTGATTACAGAAGGAATCAAATAACAAAATCCATCCTCCCTGCCCCTCTCTACCCAATTTGCTGCCTCAGTCCCCATGTTGTTTTCAGTGTTGTTTCATTTGTGCATGAGACTTACCTTGTTATTTATGTTCCTTTCCTATCCTGTATTGCTGGTGTTTGCGTCACTGCCATTTCCTCTTTCTGCTTCCAAGGATTTGACTGTTTCTCAGTGTCTTCAATAACAGCTAGTATTTTTATTGAATCCAGAGTGTGTGTATATATGTATACATACGTATATATATTGACACTCCTTGTCTACACTGAGATCCCTGGGACCTTGAATTAATGCTGCATATGTAGAACAGGCAACACCAATTCGAAGGACCCTAAGTATGGACTAACATTGAGGGTTACTAGAATGGTTTGCTGCTTCAGGTGATCCTGGGCAAAATGTCAAGCAGAGAAAACAAAGTATTCCAGCATGGACAAAACCTTCTCAAATTGGAATATGTGCTAAAAATACTAATTCTCTCAAATGCATGTTCTGGCACTATCTGCTTCAAGCCATCATTTACATGCAGAAGCACTCAGTTGCATTTACATGTTAGCTAAAGGAGAATCAGGGGATTTAAATGGCATACAAAACTTTTGTAATATACCTATAAAATGTGCCATTAATATGATATACAATATTAATATTGTAACATGGAACTTTTTGTTCCAGCACAAAGT